TGTGAAAGTAAATAAGGCTAATTTAAAAATTCAGGTCAAATAATTCTTCGTTTAATTTAGATTGAAAKAAATAAATCTATTTTTCTTCCTATACCCTGGATTAGATTAATYTTACACCCGGTTTATAAATTGGAATTGAAATTCGAACATTATTTCTTAAATTATCAAATAATCTTCTTCACTTCTTCACTTCTTTTTTCTTATTTTTGTTTTATTAATAGTATTAAAAAAAATTGCTAGGATTCAGTTTCTTTCTCTGCTTTAATAAAGGAACGCCTGACTGAAGTTGYTGCATTATCCAATCAAATTTTATTATTGACATCAAAACAGCCAATCAGATGCGGCGCGGCCGATTTTAAAGCCATTCAATTTTACAGAGCCAACGTTAGACGCTTCATCTCCAAGTTAGGGTGGTTTACGTTGCGAAATTTGCCAGGGAAATACCTCAGAAATAGCTCAAAATGTCTTCATATTATAACGATATTGTCTATTCTACTAAATACAAGGATGACACAGGATTTGAATACAGGTAACAGATGCAAAAGCAGAGTTTTTCACGAAAAAATAGATGCTAGTTGAAGAATTAGTGACTCGTCCTCGTCGATTTCTTTTGGGGACCGTTGAGCATATAAATTCTACGTGAACTTTCACAAARCTATATTAATAATAGTATGGTATTAGTATTTAATGCCTTTTTGATATAGCAGATAGCCATATTCTACCGTTTTGAGGGCGTTTCTGGAGTTCTACACGTGTTTGTACCGTTGGAAATCATACATAAATTAAAGCTTATCTGCATGCATGGATATCGCGTTTATCGTTCGAAAAACCAATATTATCAAGTTTCTCTTGCTGAAATAGCTAGTACAAGTATTTGAAATCGCCTCTTCTTGCTCCGAATCTCGATCTAGGCATGTTATTCTGCCAAAAACGATGGCTAAAAAAGTCCCAAAAGACAGACTCATGACCGAGCAAGAATGGCGAGGGATGGGAGTCCAGCAATCACAGGGGTGGCAACAATACATGATTCACAAACCAGGTTAGTTAATGCTATAAAGTTTGCAAATGGACAAAGGTACTAAMGATTCGAAGCTCTATTTAAATACGACATTCCCTTTGAAAGCTCTTTAGCAAACATATGCAGTTCTTTGAACTGAAATTCCAAAACTGTTTGAGAATTTTAGTGGTTTTAMTCAACTAAAGTGAATTTGTACATCTATAGAATAGCAATTTCTACATTAGAACCATTGCGAGCAAAGAAAATTGCCCTTTGGTTCTACTTGTGTCATACAGCTGATCTTGAATGTTTCCCCTAGTAAAGCATTTCCAATTACCATGAGTCTTGTGAAAGTACTGACTTTCCATTAACCTGTAAAATTGTCTAGCATGTTAGCTGTGTTTTAGTGGAGCAAATTAAAAGGCATTTTTGAAATTCTAGCTATACAGTCATTAGAGAATGTTCCACCTAGATAAACTGAAAATAACCTAGATGTAACAATTGGATGGCTGCAACAAAATTCTCACTRCATCAGCATGTACTTGATTGCTTCAATTGGGGGCTGACTAACCCTACCATGCTTGTTTGAAAAAAAACTGATCAGCCCTAAATTTTGTGTTTGCAATTTCTCATAGTTTTGATGGACTATTAGAATCTGTGGCTGTGTAGACTTGCCAAGTACAATCCTTTATTTTTCAGAACCACATATTCTTCTATTCAGAAGACCAGCAACAGAATAGACACCCATAGAGAACAAAGAATATTATAATTCAGATGACCCGKGGAAGTTATCATGAAATAATAACAATGCTCATTGATGCAATTGTAAATATGGATTATGTACATAAACTCTCCTCTTATATAACTCATATCTATCCAGACCTGTAAATTGTCAGATTTCTTTCATAAATGAAACAGTCGTTGACCACAGGACTTATATAATGAAGTAGTAATGTCAAGTTCAAGAATTCACTGTACTTAAAATGAAATATTTCTAGATTTGTGTTGTACTTTTGATGTTTTAGGCATTGTGTTCTGTATTTCTTGTTTACAAGGCTAATTACAATATTTGTGACAATTGTTATCATTATTGAGAATAAATGTTGCTTTGTATTTCATTCAATAAAATTTTGACAGCTTTGTACATAGATGTGTCTAAATGCTTGTGAAACAATAAGACATTTAGCATATGAATATCTTTATTTACCCTTTTCTTACATCTTGACTTGCTCAAAATTTTCTTGGTTGGCCATGGAAAATTATTAAGCACACCATGTTTAAACTTTATGAAATAATTACATGTAACACATGAGTAGATTGCTACTATAAGTAATAGATCTAATAGCTATGCCAGAGGATTTCGTGTGACACAGTAATTATTTTGTAAACAGGGTCTGTCCACGTCCTTAAATCCTTGAAAATTGCTTGAATTGAAAACTCGTTATCAAGGGCACTTGAAAATTTGAAAAATATAGATCTCTATCACAAAGCACTAGCGATCTCTGAATTATTCCATTTGGCTTAGTTGTGAGGTAAGAATGTACAATTACAGATTGAAGTACATAACCGACAATTAGCATGATTATGATGTTCCTTGAAAATACAATTTCGGTCCTTTAAAAGTCCTTAAATTTCGTTATTGATACTCTGCACGGACCCTGGTAAACGTTTTCTTGAGTTCCTAGAGTGATTAAACTTAATCTGTGCACAAACAAAATAGTTCTATTTAGTTGTATTTATTAAATTGTGCATGCGGTACGCAAATTAAATTTGAATTGATAGAAATGAAGCATTCAATACCATCTTGCTTCAGGTCCACTTTTAGTACAAATTAGTACTACTTACAATTTGTACAGTTGCACAGATTAAGTGCTTCCACTCTATTTTTGAAAAATGAAAGAAAGATTTCACAAAAGACTGCATTATTTAATGTTTCTGACAGAATACGACAACATCTTTTCCAATCCTGCCCTCTGGGAAATGAGAATGAAAGTATCTTGCACACTGAAAAAAAAAGAATAGCATTTATTTAACTATCCTTTTAGGGGTGACTTTGAATCTAAATCATGTATGAAATGCATTGTTGTAAACAGGTGTCTTATTTTTATACTTTTGTTATTGGGCTTTGCTCCATGGGTTTAGAGTGGTATAATTTAGAGCGGATTTCGTATGAGTGGAACACCGTTACCGCACCTGGCCTGCAGAATTTTGGTGAAACAATGGGGAACTAGAATTTGGTTACAGTACGATTATGGACACAGTACAGTACTGTCCGTTTCCCACTCATACAAAATCCACTCTATAAACCTGAGGGGTAATTATTTCAGGAAAAGCTATTACAGCATATTGTATTCCAAGACTGCAATGCACAGTATTGTCATGACACTTAATTGTAGGTCAATCAGTTGATCAATCATTTTGCCGTCAAAATTGCACAGTTAGCCAGACAACAAAATCACATAGTTAGCCAGACAACAAAATCACATAGTTAGCCAAACACTTTTTGTCTAAGTATATGAGCTGCATATAGCCACCCTGAAGCCACAAAGATTCCTTTTGAATGGCCAATAGAACAACCAACAATCATTTCAACTAAAAAACACTATCTTCATTATTCCACGTACTTTCCTGAAATAGCTCTCTACACAAGGAATGAAATGTGGTTGTCTCACCTCTCTATAGTTATATCTTGTGATGAACACTTTGATTTTCTACAAACAAATAATTATTAGACTATGTAATAATAGTAATAGTCTCCTTCACAGTTCCCTGTGCCATATTGAAAGTTAGCTGTGCCTTTGCATCAAAGCAAAAAGACCATTGAGCATTCAATTGATATATCGATAAACAGTAAATAATTGTATGC